AACAGTCATGTTGAAACAGGCAAGGTTTAAGAACTCATGTTTGAACAAAACTTCATGACAAGGTACACAGTGATTACAGGCGTGACAATTGCCACTGTTAATCCCGTCAATCCTTTATATCAACACACACATTCTCCATACTGTTCCCAGGTACACTACTTAAGGTACTCTCAAGGAGAAGTTGTTTAACAGTCAAGACATTTTATCTGCGGGTGATCTCTCTCCCATCTACTTAAAATTAACATAATCTTCAATTAAGCTGAGACATTAAAAGGATAAAATTAACACTGGTCACAATTAGGCTTAAAATACATGACCCTTACCCTCTTTATCCAAATTCTTAACATTTGTGTGGTGGTGAAAAAATCCATGCTAAGGGGACTCAGACTATAGTAGTCTCTGAACGATACCCCTTGGAACTTCTTTCGTACTGTACTCCGTGTTTTAGTATTTGACAAGAATTTTTAAATTTTCACTAAAATTTGGAGTTTGGGATGAGAAAGAAGAATGTACCTCTTTATACCGCCAGGGTTAGAAAGGTTAAGAGCACAGTGAAACAAAAGGGTGAAATATCATAATGCCGTACAATTTTCAGCTGATGTTATTACATATTGTAAACACTTACCGTCAAATTTTGAAAAACAGCTATTGCCTTTTTGGTGTCCAATTCATCTATGTGCCCTTCCTAAAGTGAGGAAGAAAAGAAATATTACAAGCTTCATGATTACATGCCAGAAATATTAATCTGTTAAAAATTCCTTACAAATTTTTTAACGTGATGCTATTTTAGAAAATTTTATCCCATGAAAGTGCTTATTGCCATTTAAAATTTACGCAATAAAAAAAGCACTAAACACAAATAGGGGTGTCACAAGAAAGGAGGAGAATTTAAAAGATGTAACCTTTAGATGTAGGCAAAAAAAAAACAACAACCCAATAAAAGTTTGGATCCAACAAAAGAGTCTCAATTCTGACCAAATCTAAAACCAGACTGCAGTGACTCAGGCGCGGATCCACACCGGCTTCCAGCGTTTTACGGAAATCGGTCAGATTTTTCATAATAAACATATTTTCCACAAAAATTAAATAAAACACTTTCCAAATTGAACTCTGGCCAATGTCCCGTCCAAATGACTCGGAAACTGATGCAGGAAAGAGGACTTAAAGGAGTTAAAAATCCAAAAACTCCCCTGGGGGAGTCTGCCGCTGGACCCTCTAGAAGCTCTAGAAATCAGTCAGTATTTATCCTAGATCCGCGCCTGTGACTACTTGTCAACAGTGGTAATAAGAATCTCATTTTCTTCTAGAAAGAAAGAAAACCTTCAAACACTGCAGTTGCAGATCCAGGGGAGGGTCCTGCCATTGAAGCAATTTTTAATGTAATCTCACTCATAACTAATCAAAGCTACACAGGTCATTAAGTGACTAATTTGAATACGAAAAATACGCCATAAACTTGTGATCAATAATGACAGATTACTGAGCAGTATACTTCTGTCGTACAGCTATTATTTTATGCATATTGTTCTTGCGATAAAGTCTGTCAAAGAAATCCGAATGTGTGATGAACCATAATATTATTGACAAACTTAACAAGGAAAGAAATCCATGCCATTTTTCATTAGAGTCATGTATGCAGAACCTTATCAAAATTAATTTAAATGTTCTCAAACCTCAAGATGTCTCTCCAACTCTTTCATATGATTTGGATACTTGCCAAGATGTCTGAAGGGCTAATAAACAAGAAAGACAAGGATTCACAACTTAAATTCATGCACATAGCATACCCCAACAGTTTTTCAAATTTTAGTCAACAAAATATTGATAACAGACTAATGCAAAAGAAAATGAAGATCTTCAACACAATTTTTTAGAAATTATGTATCAATGTGAATTTACAACTTGGTTCTCTCACATGGAATGTTAATCCTAGAAGTGGATTGTAGATTTAACTGTCTGATAAACAACTGTACAGACAGTCTTTGAGGATAACAAAACAAGATTTGTTGTTATATTGGTCTGAAATAGTTAAATCAAGACTACTGCACTAAAACAAAAATCAGGTAGAAAAATAATATGGCCATGAAAAAATTCTGTACAACAAAAAGAGATACTACTACCATCAATGAAGGACATTACGGTCATCAAGGGATCATTTACGCCTTGAAGAACCAAATTTTAACATGAACACTTATGGTCAGCGAGCATTTTCCGTTGTTGCCCCCCGACTACGGAACAAGCTCCTCTTTAAAATTCGCGCTTGTTCTGATGTTAATCTTTTTAAATCTAAGTTGAAAACGTTTCTTTTTAAAAAGGTATATGACATTTAGTTTCATCATATTTGTTTGTTTGTTTTTTTTCCTTCCCTTTTTAAGATGTGTATGCTAAAAAGCCAAACATTCAGTTCCCAATATGTACAGTAGGGTTATATGTAAGCTTGTGCTTAATGATATTCTTATGTCCTTTTTTACATTGTAAAGCACTTAGAACAGCAATGTATAAGCGCTATATAAATTACACTATTATTATTATTACTAAGTTGTTGATTATAACTTGGGCAATTGTAGGGTTACATGTAATTTTTTTTCTTTTCAGGAAGGGATGTATGTTTAACCAAGCTGCCATTTTAGTCAGACATGCCAGAAATGTTGTCAGTCATAATTATTTCTTTATCTAAGTATTAAGCAAGTTCTCAGTTTCAGAATGACTGTCACTGGCGTTCTTTAAATCTGTCTTGTAATCAAGTCTGACTGAACAATGTTTGCCCAAACATCGCACAAAGACAGCCCACATGATAATTTGTGTGTTTACCACTGAATTATAATGTAGATGCTACTGGCCATCACACAGATTTGGTTAATGATTGATTGATTTTTCCAAGTGAGGGTTAACTTTCCCTTGGCCAAATAGTCAGAAATGCCATTCCACCACAATGTGGGATGAAAATGTTTAATCATTAGGCTGGAACATAGAAAAATAGAGAAACAAGAGCGTTGATTAACCTACATTACTCAGACTCGTTGTCAGTGTTAGTATTCCTGGTGCTGGAGCTCCCTTACTTTCAATGAATGCTGACAACTCATCACTGCAAGGCAATAAACCAAACAGCGCATTTATCTATAATATAATCCTCAAATCTGATTGGCTATCAGCTGTCCTAATTTTAGCTTTAACGGGACAGTGTAATAGGTCAGCACGTGTCATGCTTAAGTAATATTAGGGACGTTACCGTCCGACAATGCGACAGCAACGGGAACATCAAAAACAACAATAGGTTTAGTGGGCAAAACAACGACTTTGCAAGTGCACCTCACTTTTTTGTACATTTCTTTGCCGTTTTTGCACGACTACAGCGTGAAATTGCCTAACTTTACTTTTTAGGGAGGACGTAAACAAGCGACGACGAAATTTTATTCTCTTTCTAAACTTGGATATGGTTCTTAGAAATTCAACTCCGGGAGGGTTCACCTACATTTGACAAAGTAAGTGAGTTGGTATAATTGCGATGAAGACCGAAAGAACGCAAATTCATTTTTGAAGTGACGTTTTCACTGCCGTTGCGTCGTCGGATTGCAAAGTCCCTATTATTGAACAGTAGACACGATCGTGCGCATGCACTTGAATGTTTTTTATTTTCACTGTTACCAAAAGACTATCAGAATATCTTATGTTTAATTTAAAAACCTTAAAATATCACAAATCTTGTTATACCTGAATTTATGATTAATTCGTACAGAACTTTCTGTTGTCCAATTCGGTCTGTAATCATACTTGTAATTAAACAAATCAGACTACCGCTATGAGGTCAGCTGATTTTGTTAATGATGACTTATCAGGAACCAGGGATACACTTTACAGTGATGTTGAGGGTCAAAGAGTAACATTGCAGGATGTCACCCTATTTTTGAGTACAATGCAATAACTCCTTAACACACTTATAGTTGGTTTCATATTGATTAACTAATTGAATGATAAAAACTTTTACATAACCTTGCTTTTCCACCTAGGATCTTGGTTATGTTTCCCTTTACTTACCCATATTTTGTGAGCACTTCAACTGCCCTTGGATGGTTTGCACAGTACATCATATACAATTCCTTCATCTGTCAAAGCAAATTAAACTTCGGTTAAGACGAAAATTTCCCGAGCAATCTTACAGACCCCTATTTTTTCAGTTGCCTAAGATTGTGACTATCATTTACTAACTTTAATGGGTAGCCAACTTTACTAAGCGATACTATTGTAATCAACCCTTCTAACTGTCAAATGTCACCCCCTTGAAATTAGCAAGATTATTTTATCACTTGACTACCAGGTTAAACTCATCAACGAAGATGAACGTGGTGTTGGGGGAGGGGGGGGGGGGGGGTGGGTGCGCCTGAATAGCTGGTGGAGTCAAGGGCCATAGCCAAGAGCAATGTATAATGATAACAACCCTGTGAGTGGCAACCACCCAGGCACTGTCACACTGCTAACCAGTGAAACCTAGACTACTTACCATATACTTACCAAAGGGAAGGCAGGAAAGGGAGAAAAACAGGCTAACGAGCACAAGCAACAAGAAGCAAGATGAACTTAATGGGCTGACCTCAGCTACAAAGCTGTAAAACCCAAATGCCCCTGCGAAGCTATTAGGGCACCCTTGAAAATCACAAATGAGAGACTGCTGGCCAGCATTGTCTCAAGTTTAACTTAGCCTAAATTTCATTTAGCCACATGACAACACTATTATAGCAACATATGGCTCTTAATTTACGGTGCAGACACTCAACCTGGAACACTTGGAAGAGGATTGTCCAACAATTTACTATGTTTTCTGAAAACACAATATTCTGAAGTTTTTTTGGTTATGGACCATACCATTCATAAATTTGAGGGCTGTTTCCTGAGAGGTCAGTTAAGCTCAAACGGTTTTAAGTTTTCAACAGTTGCATAGTTGAATACTTTAATTTTATTGGTCTGTTTGCACAAAAACTTGAGGATCTTTTGTTTTCAGAAAATGTTGTTATTGGACAATCTTCTTCCAAGTGTCCCAGTTTCAGTGTCCACACTGTAACTGTTGGTGTGACGCTTTTTCTTTGTCAGCATTTTACACAATAAAAATAAACATTGCTATTTTCATACTAAATAATTATTATTAGCCATTTTTAGGGATTTTCATTACCTGAGGAGCAATTTGTAGAAAACTGGCACCCATTCTTTGTTGATGTAAGGGGAGACTGAAAGAAAAAATGAAGAATGATTATGGTCACTTGTAAATTTAATTAATATAAAATTGTTCTTAAAGCAAACCTAGAAGAAATAATGTTATAAAATGTTAAATCTTGACTACGTGTAAAATAATAATAGCCTCATTAACACCCAGCTTCTTCAGAATGCAGATACACGGTCATGTGATACAGTTTTTTGTTTCCTGCACTGAAGGCTTTTCCAACACAGCACCCCCTCCCCCCTTCGCCATTCTCACACACACTCATGTATACCTTAGCAAAAGTCAGTAAGCCTCTTTACAGCAAAAAAATTTAATTTCAATATACACATTATTTTTGTCTGCTTCAGGCTAACTTTCCAATTAATTTGCTCTGGGGTCAGGTGTGCGCTATTGTTTAGTGCAGATTAAGCACCGGAAAAATATCTGTACAATTTTTTTTTAACTTACTGTGAACAATCATCCAAAAGGTTGTAAAGCATCTGTTGAAACTGAACCAGCTCTTCAAAGTTTCCAGCCAGTACTTTCATATCCTTGGGTGGCAATCTGAATAACACCACCAAAAACATTCATGAAGAAACACTCAAAACACTTTCTTTTTAAGCTGAACTAAGAAGACTACAAAACCTTTTTCAGGCTTACAAGACAAATAATACTTACGTATTTGATGTTTGCAGTGGTTTTAAGTAATTCTGTAGCAAGGCCTGTGGTAAAATAAAAAAAGACGTATCATTAATACTTATTAGAGGCAACAACAAACAAACACATGATGTTGTGCTTTTCAGCAATGGCTTTTCAAGATTAATACCCATCCTATTAATTACTAGCAAAGAAATTTTAAAATACTGTAACAACTCTGAATACAAAACAAATGTACCTGTAGCTCGCTAACATGAGCTCTTTCAGTGTCCAAAATGTTTTGAACCACCTACAAGATTAAAACCACAAAAATCAACAAGTTTCCATGTGAAAGTAAATTTACAGATTCAGTAAAGAAAATGCAATGTCAAATGAAAACGCGAATGCATTTGTAGAGGACTGGAGCACTCAATTTGTTGCTCTGCAATTGAACAAGACAGTTTTCACATCTGCACAAGCCATCACTGTCATTGCATTGCCTCTGCTAAGACTCGTCAACATTAAACTTAAATGGAGCAAAAGATAAGTCAAAATAAGAATGTAATGACACAACTGCGAGCTGTGACCATTTTGGTTGGTTGAGCTACTAAAAAAATTACTTTGGGGCCCAAATAGACCTCTTTTGTTAGTATGTTTTGTTTTGGCCAATTGTCTTTACATTTGCATAATACCTGTCAATGTGTGGTTCCAAAAATTATCCATACCTCCCCCACAGAAGGCATTTCTCCTTACACCCCCCACCCCTCTGGAAACTCGCGTCAAGCTTCACACATTTACTTAAATTTTGGGGCTTTTGAGAGCCTTCCACCCCCAAGGAATTTCCAATCCCTTCCGTGGGGGGAGTATGCATATTTTCTAGAACTACACAATAAGACAAAGTTCTCAATTGAGTATTACCACATGACCTACATTTGCTAAAGAGGTCTCTTGCAGCAGAAGTCACCAATTTTGCAACCTGTATTGGACAGTGGTGTGCCAAGCTATAGGGCTTTTATTGGTTGTGTTTATAGTCTTTTAAAAGTGAAAACAAAATAAACATTTGCACGAAGTAGTATTTAAGTACTTTCTCTGTATTCTAAAATTTGTCCCTTTTTCCCTGGTTGATCGAGTATTAAAGCCTTGACGGGGTGCAAAGAAAGTCAGTTTTACAGCCTGCCATTCGGGCAAGCTGTAGCTAGCATGTACTAGCCCACAAGTCATTTCAAGTAGTCCCAAAACCCTTTTTGATTAGCAGGATTGATTACAATCCTTCTGTAATTCAAAGTTCCCCTAAAACAGCACTTGCCCGTCGGGCAAGTTAAGAACAAAAATCACTAGCCCGATAGCAAAATCCACTAGCCCCGGGCTATGGGACACGACTTTCTTTGCGCACTGCTTGAGATGTGGCGTGTACCTGCAAATTCAACTGTGATAGTTGAGCAAGGCTTATGTCTTAGAAAATTGCAAAGCAACCAACTGCACATGCTTGCAATCTTACACTACACAAAATTTTGAATCTTCCATTATAATAAGAATACTTTGCTTTCTCACTGATGTTCATCAGCGACAATCTTCACCTAAAAAATACTCAAGTTGACAGTCACTCACCAAGTTATGATAGACCCTAGCACTTTCTCGTTTGTTTGATGATAATGGTGATGGCTGTGGTGAGACAGGTGTGGTGGGTTCAGGGCCTAAAGGTGAAGACAGACCGTCTATTATGTTGGAGTAAAGTACATCTCTCTACTTTCATTAACCCATTCGCCCCTGTGCCACCTGAACCGTCCGTGCAGACCCAGGTCCCTTCTACCACTTGTGACGTCATCAGTTTTAATGGTCAAGGACAACTTTACTTGTAACATTGAAAATTACTTCTTTGTCTGGTTTGTTTGGTAGCTGCTATCCTGAATGATGTTTTGAGTGAGATTTGAGGAAAGGGACTACACAGTAACAACTCTGGGTACAAGAGGCAGGTTGAAGATTTCCCTATGACATATCTATTTTCACGGTTCCTCTCTGCTCCCCATCCAATAATTTCGCACTACAGCTCCAAAATCTTTCATCACAAAAACTGAAGGACTGTTCACAGTCTTAACATGATGTTGAAAAAATTCCTTTCAAATGTATCTAACGACGGAAGAATAACAATACTTACTTGCTGATATTTCTTTGACATAGTTACTAGGAAACCATCCAACTATGCCATTTAAAGTGCCTTCCCACCATCCTCCATCCACAACCTGCCAAGAAACACATTGGGAGATGAATTATACATTTGTACCATGGAATTACAATGTACAGTTATCTTCTTCACGGCAAGAACAAAAAAAATTCTTATCTACCACCACCGGTGGATAACTCACACTAAACTACAGGTGTTTATACAATGAATACAATTGGCAACACAGTGTTAGAGTTATTGAACAAGATAATTTTTACCATCAACTAGAAACAATGAATATATACTTCATTCTAAGAATCTGATGATGTTTATGTCATATGAGCTACGGTACATATGTGGATTTTACTAAAACTTTCACATCCATTTGTTCCTACCTTGAACAATCTTATAATTCAGGCATTCTAAACTCAGGGTGGGGGTTATCTAGTATTTCAATCTTAGCTTTGGTTCAATAATTGTCTTTGTGGGGGGGGGGGGGGGGGGTGGAGAGTAAGAATGGTGCAGAGCACTTGTCTCCCACAAATGTGGCCTGGGTTTAAATCCCAGGGTCGCAGCATATGTGGGTTGAGTTTGTTGTTGGTTCTCTCCCTTGCTCCGAGAGGTTTTCTCCGGGTACTCTGGTTTTCCACTCTCCTCAAAAACCAACATTTCCAAATTCCAATTCAACTAGGAATCAGGTAGATGTAGAACCAATTTATTAGTGGATATGCTACTTCTAAATAATTATTCATTTTGATTTATTATTAATTCAAAATATTTCCCCAATTCTGATTGGCTAAAAGCACACACATAATTCACCATAACCAGTTACTGATGACCAAATTTGGAAGAATTTTGTGTTTAACGAGAAAATGACATCAAAAATGCAGCCTTTTACAGGTTAATGCACTGTCAACTGAGAAGACCTGGGGAGAACGTTGAGTTATTTTCGTTGTGAAAACTAAAATGGCGTACACTTCAATCGTTTCAAGAGTAAGAACTACAGCTGAAACAAGGCGAAATAACGGCTAAAAACACAGCAAAAACAGCAAGAAGACAACTCGGAGGGCGACATCTGCTATCAGGAGAATATTTGTGGAGCTGGACAAACCTAAACATACACTATCGAAGATAAACTTAACATTGATGCGGGTAAGCATGTTTTAGCTATGTTTTTAAACTAGCAATTATTTTGAATGAATAATAAAGCAATTATTAATGAATTCGGCTTTCGTAGGATATGAAGAATTAAGCAGATCTTGGAGGGTGTTATCCACAGAGGCCAAAGGCCGAGGTGGATGACACCACCTCGATCTGCTTAATTCTTCATATCATACGAAAGCCGAATGCATTAATTGCTAATTAATTATTATTTTATTGTTTTCTTTTGTTAAAGCTGTATTTTACTATAACCTAACTCGAAGAACAGTATAACTAGAATCAAGGAAAAATGTGAACTTAAACAGCTACGGTAATTTAGTTGAGTTTATCAGTTGCCAAACACCAACCTTAGTGACTTCAAGGATGTCTCCCCTTTCAAAGCAAAGCTACATAATCCAAAAACAGGAAAACTTTAGTAAATACTAGGGCTGAACTGTGAGAATAAACTACAAAATTCATAAAAGAAGGAAACCAAGCATGTTTTTTAAATCCACTTCTATGCAGGACAATAATACTATTAAAATATAATGAAAAGCACTCCTGAATAGCGTTCTTTGTCGAAATCAAGATTCCTGGAGATTACATCTCTAAACTCATTCCAAAAAAATCTTGCAGGGAGAGAAAGTTTCTAGAATTCATAGAGGAATACAGCCTTACAACCACTTATCTCCCTCACAGCCGTCTACTCATCCAGCAGCAGTCACTTGTTACAAATATTATAAAAACCTCACAAACAAAGACCACAGGTCTAATGATTTTGTAAATACGCTTTTTATCATGATTGTTGTAATTTATTATTATCAATTTTGTTTTTAGAGGGCCACTAGGGAGAATACTTTTCATAGTAATTGGTATCACCCTCTTAATAAAATAAAGGTTATATTTCAATGGAGAGTTGAAATAATGTATTTATCATTGAAATTATTTTATCCAAAGTTTTGATAGGTATAAAAGTTATGGCTTTGCTGCAGATACAGTCTCTAACTGCCTACAGACGGCAGTCTGCTCAAGCTCAACAGAAGAAAGATTTTTTGCCACCAGAAAAATGCTTTGCTCATGTACAGCTTGATTCTGTCTTTGAAATACAAAATGGCTGCTTTGCAGTTCATTTTAACTTACAAAACAGCACAAGTATTCAGACAGGTCTGTCACTGAGGACTAGGGGCTTGGGATTTCCCCCAGCTACAGATCCCCAGCTACTATGAGTTTTTCATCAGAAAAAAAAGGAAAATAGAACCAACACAAATTCATAGCTGTTCCATTTCTTGCCTACTAATCCCCGGGCTGTCAAAAAGTTTTTAAGTAGAGGGCTGATAATGAATAGTAGGAGGCTCTGGAAATTGCACTAAAGGCACAAGTTCTTGAGCTTAGAGTCTCGGGAATGGCGTTTCCAGGGGTTTTCAAGAGGTATTTTCCACAGCGGAAGATATGTTGTTTTGCCAGAATACACACAAGACTGGAAACAATGCTGTTGAAATGTTTCTGGGCATTCCACAACATTGCATGGTTTGAATGTTTCACAGATCTAAACCTGTTTAAATAAGTGTTCAATGTCATTCAAAACTGGGAAACGTATGCTTTACAGTCATTTTATCTGATGGTGTCCATTTTTTGTTAGCAGTTTTGGTAGAAGGAGATGAAAGTAGCCAGCTAAGGATGGCTACTAGCCACTGGTTTTGGCCGGCTACCAGCCCTTATTGACAGCCCTGAATCCCTGAACACACTCAGCAAGTTAAAATTTCAGTGACAACCCAGAGTATTCTCATCAAATTATAAAACAAAATTATTACTATTAATTCCACTTGCTTCACAATGATGTGTGTTTTGTCAGTGCCTTGTATATCAATAATTTTGCCTCTTCCTTCAGCATCAGCAAATGATAACTTTGATCTGTTTGCCAATAACAAAAAACATAATATTTTGCTGACTCTCTTCCAAAAATACTAATTATTTATTAGGGTGTGCAAAATAGTATGATTGCATGTTTATAGTCACCAGCAGTGAACTGTACCTCATCTTCATCCTGTCCATTGAAAGGAAAAGCTGCTTTGACAAGGTGAATTCTGCCTCCATAATCTGTCATCTCCTAAAACAACATTAATATCAATAAAGTAAGGATATTAACTTGTGATACTATTTTCTTTGGGCACTGTAGTTCTTTTTTTTTTTCATCTATTTAAGGACTCAGACTCTGATAACCCCCCAGTCTGAGGTGCCGTAATAAATAAGCTCTTTAAAGTCTATTCAATCGTACTACCTTAGGCTCAAGATTGGGTCATACTCGACCCAAACAAGTGCCTTAACCCATTTTAGTATCCTAACCCTCACAAAAATAATAATGCTTATGACTACGAACAATGTGTTTCAAGATAACAGCGAATGGAAGCAAATTTGCAGACTTCAACAAAGAGACTTAGTATAGGAAACTTTATGCACCATAAACTTTGGTTTGAGAGGGGAGGATTACACTTAGGGGTGTTATCTCTGGAATTTTACCTACTACTGCAAAAATAATAATGGGAACCATGCAGTACACTTCCCAGATCAATAGGCCACTTCCAAGTTCCAAAAACCCTCACTTTCAAAATGAGGCTACCTGCACAACCTTTCTTGTGAAAATAAATGATTTCCTTATCAAAGGCTGAGCACCTACCCTCGTTTTGAAACAGAGGCCCGGGGGAACTTGGAAATGGCTTATTCAGGTTTCTACCAAACTGCCCACCTACACCTCTCTTATCCCAACATTTCACCCTAAGTGAGAAGTAGGTGTTAATGAGTTAGGGGAGGGGTAGGTGGGCAGTTTCCTAGAAACCTTAATGGGATTCTACTGCCCTAAAACATCCTGGTCTAAAGTTATGCTTACAAGATGTCTAGTGCCCTCAGTGGGTTCTCTCTCCGAGTCTTGTGTTTTTGTTGTAGAATTTGCGGCAGTTACTTCATGGTGGTGAGTAAATTGCCTTCCCAAACCATATCCTGAAAAATAAACAATAGCCAAGTACTGTCAAACCTCTATTAAAAAGACCTTGATCAAGCAGTCAACCTCTACTTAGTGACCAACAAAACAGGCAAAGTATGCTAATTCCTTATGCAATTTCTGTCAAGCTTCAACTGGTAGCAACTTCCACGTATCATTAACGTTTCTATAATTTTCAAAAAAGCTAGTCTGAGAAAACAGCTGACATTTTGCGTCGCAACCATTGGATTCCCCACAAAATGACCTCCGAAGAACGAGCCAAGAAATTCCATACTGATGACATGTCACTACCCAGATCGGGGTAGTGCTCCTGATTGATAAAGGAAATTTCCCTCATGGACAAGCCACTCAGAAGTACTACACAGATCTGGGTGGAGTAAAATGTAATTGAAGCGAGTCTTTGCAATTTTCCTTTGCTTTACTGATGAAACATAGAACTCATAATAAAAATACATGTGGCATGCGCAGGAGCGTTGAGCTAAAAACACAGCTGCTGCCAAATTTGCTTTTGACTGACTTTTGAATTGGATTACTTTGTTTTTCAATAAGGTTTTCCTCTATAAGCTGCTTTAAACAGAAAAGAGTACCAAAGTCTAAGAAAAGCAATTTGCTTCCCACCCTATTGCATTCAAAGTTGAATAAAATTCAAGGACTTTCAAAGGAAAAATTGAATTGAAGGACCTTCTAAGGACTCCAACCAAAATTCAAGGACTTTAACCTTGCTTTAAGAATTAAATAAATTTCCAGGTTTAATTGGCTCATATTTTAAATATGTTTATTGTATCATACATTCTGATATATATAAAACACAAAATAATACTTCTGAAAAGGCAACCACAAATTTTCTTCAAAAATATTTGTTTCCTGAAATAATTTTTTGTACAATTAGAGGCTTTTCTTATGTTTATTTAACATATTAAAAGTGACAAATGAGATGAAATTGAACACAATATTTAATATGCTCCATGATTCCTGTTCCCACACAAAAATTATGAAGAAAATTTGATTTGATCAAACAAATAAAATCAAGAAATTCACATCAACAAGAAAATGTGTCTACTTCCTGACTCATCCATACACCAAAGACACACTAAATAGTCAAAGCAAATATCATAGATCTTACAAATTCCATAACTTACGAAGTCCTGACTTAATTTTTTGCAGCATTGAAGTTTTCCTCGAGGCAAAATACTAAACCCAACAAGTTTGATTTGAGAAGTAAACAAGCTGAATACCTACATTAAGGCAAGTCAGCGTCATGACTGGAAGAAACTGAAAAACGTTCAGTTTTAGGGCTGAAGTTTGGTTATATTAAGCTTGTTCGGGTTCAAGACGTCAAAAATATATTACCATAAAGGTTTAGTCTTTTAAAACTAACACTTTGACCAAATACGGACGTGTTTTCTAATTTCAAACTTGTCTTCCATTCATTTCAGCTCACTTCCTCCACTAACTGAAGTATCATGTAAACACAAATTACAACAATGGAAGGAAAAACAACTAACTTCGAGAAATGTGATATTTTTCGACATAAGCTTACTCATCACGAGAAAATTGAAACTTTGAAACAAGTACAACCAGAGATCGATGAACGCAAATGAAAGAAAAATTACGAGAAATTCTCTTACATGAATTTGTGTTGAGCTATTGTTTACCACGATGCCTTTGAATAAACGAAATACTTTGTCAAAGCTTTTACACGTTTTAAGTACAAATGGAAGAGTAGTCACGCCATAAAACGAATCTTATTATGATCCGTCAAAGAGCCTGGTTTCTCGTCGTTTAACGTGAACAGGCTTGAGATGCAGAGCAGAGAACTAATAAAACAAGTAATATAATTATACGAGCTTAAGCGAAGCAAGTTTTGCTCACCTTTCAATATTCCTCTTGAGAACAGCCGTGAATTATACAGAAAATTGAATCCAAAGTTTTAAACGTAAGAAAGCGAAATTCACCGACAGATCTGGGCAGAATAAACGCTATTTGTAGCCTCAGCAGCAAAGTTTTAATTCAATGGAGTATTTGCAATTTTTCTGTCACACGACGAGCCTTTTGTTCAAACGATCGAAAGTGGCAAGAGAATTGCTAGGCACATGACAGTCAATCAATGTCATCATTGAGCTTGAACAAAAACCCTCAGCTCATTTTACAACAACATATAAACAGAAACTTACCAGCAGCCACATTTTCTAAGCTGTCGAGAGTCTGCAGAACACGGTTAATGCCTTCTTCACTGTCGAGGTCACTTGGTGAAAATATCTGCGCATACAAACATGGCGTACATGGAACATTACTTGTTGAGCGTGCTCAGATAAAACATTAAATTTTAATGCAGAAACGCCAGTGTTAATTTTAAACATAATAATATACGAGAATTATTCATATTTGGTATCAAACCTCGTCGTCTTTAAGTTGCAAGTCTTGGCAGGCGCTCAAGAATGCCCTGATGTTTTGAAAACGTTCCTCCTCTGATACAGGTTCCTGTTGTATCTAGAATCAGCGACCAGCGGACACATCAGGACACAACTCATTTACATGACAAAATACCTGAACATTAGTTCGCTGTTTCTAAACACCAGATCGTCCTCTCACCTTGGTTATTGCGCCTGGTTTTAATCGATTGACTAAACGACACAAAATCGAACCATCTCTCAAAATACTCAGCAGAAATCTGTCAAGGTCATAGTCGGCCGTTGTTTGCCGCTGTTCCAAAAGACCCAAAGCGACAAACCAGCTTTCGATTTGGCGCGCTTTAAGCCTCATTTATACAATTTTCACTAATTGTTGTTCGATGCTCTCGCTGTTCACGTGTGAGAGAGACAGACCGGCAAAAAAATATTTCTTCCTAAAGGGTAGATGTTTCATAGGGTGGAACGGCATTCCTCACTAATTCATTCCTCAAGAAAAGTTGACAGGAAACCATTATTAATCATCATAAATTACACACCTAACGTGCAAACAACAATGCTAACGTTGAAAAAATTTCCTCGCGAAATGTTAGTCTGTCTAAGGAAGTTAAAACTTATACTAGAGAGGAGGAAAAAGCATTACTACTGCTCAATTCAAAACTTCTTTGCTGCATACTTTCCAAAATTTATTTTAAAAAACTATATGGCGTGTGGGTGGTTTATTACATTTTTCTACTACATGTATTTCCTGTCGGTTTGGTTTTAATTGAGAACTAATTACCAGAAGTCTGATATGACAGGGAGAGTTTGTCAGAGGTGGAGAGCTCTCCATTTTTTAAAACGCCGCCAAAAAAGCTCCTGCTGCCGGGGAACGTTTGAATTATGGGCAAAAACAGGAAACAAGTCAGTGTAAGAAACGAAGACATTTCTTGAGGGGGCAATTTTTGTTGAACCTTCATTCGGCGTATCCTCTCGTAAAGGAATCGAAACGACTCTTTACGCTTTCTTAAATTGTTCCTATGAAACATCCCAAGATCAATTTTGATACAATTTAGCTTAATACTGAGGAGGCCAGATGTTGCAAAGTAACAGTGTCCCCCGGCCTAGGGCGTGGTCGACTAGTCATTCTGTTCAGCTGATCAACATTCTAAAAAAATAAAACTCAAGTACCAATTTGTAAATCTTTAGAGAGATAAAAACCAGATATAAGAAGGAAAAAAGAACAAAGTTCATGATCTTAAGACTCCTCTCCTGCTAAGCGCTGTTTTGACGGTTTTTCTGTGTTGTATCTTTTCGGCACCATCTTGAAAGGTTCGGTCATGTATGGACAAGAAAAAGAATTTGCCTTCCACCCATACCATTTAATACCTGTCTTTGAGGATATGACAAAGGTTTTTGCAAAATAAGGGATCTCAAGCAAAAATAAGTTAGGAAAGTTGGTAACATTCAAACTTTTTAAAAACCTTGAAAAAACCTACTTCATTCCAAATTTGAGTTTGCCTCACGCATGCATGTTACAGAGACCTACAATGACTGGCGGAGCACTTAGTCCCCAGGGCCCAGTAAAGGAAAAGAAATGTAAATAAGCTTACCTTGTTACTTACCTTCTTTTACCGACCTGTTGTGTTCTGTTTTGGATAGATGGTATCTGGCGGTGTTTTGAATGCTTTTTTGTTGTAATACTCTTGGTTTATTTTTGTTAGTCTTTTTGCTCTTTATCATACCTTTTTGTTGTTGGGGCACGCTAAGTAATTGAGTTCTTGGTATGAAGGTTTTGTTTGTTTGCGAAACTGAACGTTCTTTACTGAATTCAAAAGCGGAAACTTCTTTTAGATTCTGAATTTTTTGTGTTTCAGGTCTGAAGAGGTTTAAATTATGACTAATACAACATGCATTTGTCGTGGTGTATATACCAAACCGGAATTGTCAAAGAAACCAAGACCTTATTAAAAATAATGACCGAGTGCTTACTTTTCCATAGTTTTAGAACCAGCAGGTTATTGTTATGATCGCTGAACTGAAACAGTAAGTTACTATTTCTAATAATGATCTTCTGTTCCACCTCAATGACCTGTTTAAAAAATTCATCTAAAATAATAACCTATTGAAAACAATGGAAAATTGCACGAAGAACCGACTGAACGAATGTGTTGCGGAAAAATAAACTTACCATAGGTTTGGTATATACTGAATAAATGACAGACACACAAATGAGTTGGCTGCATATCCTTGTTAAGGACCGTGGCAGTACTTTTATTGTTATTTTGAAGACTTTCGGCAAGGAAAATTGTTCTGCTTTTCTTTATTGTCAGGTACCTGTTAAAAAATGGAAGGAAGGTGTTATTTGTTGTTGTAAACACTACCGTACTCAACTTGTTAAGAATTGCACTCCAAATTAACCTTATTTTCTTGTTTACTGGTTTCTCTCGTTACCTTCAGTCTTATTCACACCTGTCTTGCCACTATGTCGACTGTTATCTTATGTCCGACCTGAACCGTCCCGGGAAGCATTGTAATTCTCTTCCGGTGAAAGCTAAGCACTCCACGCCAAAATTGCTAATAGTTGGTTCGTTGGCATCCCGTTTTTGCGGGATACAAGCATAATTTACCTTCAAGGCGTACTTTAATATAAAAGCATACAGTTTGAGTCAGAGTAATAAACTGTCCAACGTTTGAAGTTTATTTTATATGTTTAGTCTACAGAAGTGAACACTTCTTTAATCAAAGCGAAAAATTCTAACTACATAGACATCAACAAAATAGGCCAATGCCCTAACAATCGAACTCGTGTTTATCATGTTGACTACAAGAAAACCTTTATTACAGTTTTGTCCCTCCAGCTCAACATTAACCGACTGCCAACATAACAAAGGGACCATGCATGTTTACGGGTAACTTCGGGCGACACATTGAATAACACTCAGAGCACAGAATTATGACAGAAAATCCGTTATGTAAAGTCTAAAAGAATAATTTCTTTCTGCACCAAAAATAACCAGTAAGAACCATTAAAGCAATTTGGACGCTTGTCACCGTTTCTGTAAATTGACTTACAATTTTTCGCAGAAAAAAAGTAAACGATAGCGTAAGCAAAAGTTAAAGTTGAACTAAGAACAAACCTGCTGTTTTCGAGGAGGCAATAGAGAATCTTGACTTTCATTCCGGACCAGGGTTTGGTCTTCACTCAGCTTCACTACACCGCAGGCAAAGCAAGGTACATTTATACGGTCGCTCGATTAAAATTCAAACCAATGTGAGAAATGTTTTTGATAAATCTTTTCTTGAAACTGTATGTGAGAAAAGCACGCACTCTGTGTTCAACAATGGGCAATCAAAGCATAGATTGGTCACATTCAAAGAGAAACGTTTGCCGACTCGCTCAATCACATAACGTAGATCTAGGTTGAAAACAGTATACTAGTGGATAAGCATGGGACTTGACAATACAGTGAGAAAAACAGCACTCAGTTCATCAATGAACAATAAGGGAGACTGACGTTTGAATTAGACGCATTCAGAAAAGAAAATGCCGACTTGATTACAACTTGACAAATCGATGACAAAACTGGTTAGTGAATGAGTAGGCAATAGGCCTTTCGCCCCAAGAGAAATTGAAAACACTGCTAATGCGAAATTTTGAAGGGACCACAAAGAGTATTATCGTATTTTTGAAAAAGGTCTATAGCCGTGTGAATTACCACAAGCTAGCCCCTGAATAAATTTAAAAGTACCGGGAAAGAAACATACAAACTTTCTAAACTTCTCGGTAGACAATAAAAGTGAAGAAAGTTAATTAAGGAAAACTAGTGTTAAAGAATTGCTAGCACAGGAACCATTTTGACTCCTAACATTTGATTGCTCAGTGATGTTGATCACCACTATCAGTCTGACAAAACTAATGAATATGCGAAGACTGCAATAGCCTATTTTGCCCCCGCTCGTCACGACTGAAGTTAAAAGTGCGAAAAAGCGAAATACAAACTTTAAAAACTTTCAGGTAGACAAAGAACATCATTCATTAGAAAAGAGCAGCAAGTTGAGAACGTTGTAAGTGAGACGTCCCTGTTGAGCCATGCAACCAGACAGTAAATCCACTAAAACTACACTGTATAGGCCTTCAAACCAAGACGATAATATTCTGGTCCTTTTGAATTAAGAAGCTATGTCACTATGTTAACTATCTTGTTAAAAAGCTAATGATGGTCCATTTTTGTTACTGCAACTGTTTTCTGTCGTCTGTTGATACGGACAGCAAGGATGGAATGGACATGGATTGAAATCCGGCAAATCATTCAAAAAATTGTGACAGTAAAGATTTTTTCAAAGTTAAAAAAGAAAGCAACCAAAGTCACTCTTATTTTGAACTCGTTGTATTATCATTTTCTGAGAAAGAATAGTACATGTAGTATTAATACATCAAAGCATAACAGTTGGAAAGAGATGAAAATCTTTGCCCACCTTAACCCTCCAAGCCCCAATAACAACATACAAAATTCCCAAGACTGATCTTCATACAAAATTTGAAGAATTAGTGGGGAGAATTTGATAAAAGATCTGATCAAAGTATTTTCCCTTCGGTGATCATTTTATTAATTCTCACAACCTTTTGGCTTAATGATGGACTGATATTGTTAAGAGAAAATAAATGCTGGTCACGCTATATCCATTTACAAATTTTCCAGATTGATCTCTAAACATTTCCTTAAAAAATCAGTTGAGACAAGTTGATAAAAGAAATATTCCTTTGGTGATCATTTCAAGACTTCTCATAACCTGTTCTATCGTTTATTTATCTACATTTTGGGGAGAAAATTGATGTTGATCACTCTTGGGGATGAAAGGGCTTAACTCTTATCAATGGGCTATTGCATTATAATACCAGCACCCCACAACCCTCCACTGATTGAGAACCGGTGGAATTCTTGCAGGGTAAATTAAAAAAATTGAGGATTTCTTTAGGGTTGAAGTTAAAAAAATATGGCATTCTTTGTGGGTAAAGCTTTAATATTCAACAACATCTTCAGAAGTAAACAAGGAAAACTCACCTTTTCACGAGATTATTAAGGGATAAACCCATATTCTTCGTGGGTAGACCCACAGTTTATGAAAGTCTTCAGGGGTGAATGCAATTTTATGGAATTCTTCAAAGGTAAGAAAAAAAGGTAAGTCCTCAACCAGGAGGTGGGGGGAGGGGGGGGGTAGATATTAAAAGGAATAGCCCAATATAACACAGTGTTCTATGGAAGGCAATTGCAAAGCAAGAGCTGAGCTTAATTTTAACTGTTTTGAATTGAATCACAAGACATTTCACACTGCAACAAAAAAACAAGGGAATTTACATAACATTACATCAACAATTATATTTCAATATTATATATCAATTATTTGACAAATAAAAGACAATGGAATTACCATGAAAATTAATGTATAATTACTTTTAAAAGATTTACCGGTATCTCATGACTAACCCAATACCACGGGTGTATGATGATAAGGGCACAACGACATGAGATACAAGTAGTGGAAAGCAGATGTGTAAACTACTGTACTATTACGTCGCACATCTACTTTGCTTGTGTGGGAATGGAAATTTGCCACAAACTATACTTTCATATTTAAGTAAAGTTAAGTAAAGTTCGTGTTTACTTCTCTTACAGTTTTTGCACATCGCAGCTACGGCATTTTTAAGCAATAAGAGGAAAGACATTCTGCCCATCAGATGAGGTTGGGGACAAGTGGGGAAATAAGGGGTGGGGATGTCTTCAAGGCATCTGGCCAATACTTGAGCTTGAATATTATTCATATCACAGTTGCATTGCCATAAAAAGATAATACTTACAACTAAACTAATGTAACAAGGGTTTTATGGACACTAAATCAATCAATCTCTACCTAGCAATAGCAATAAAGAACTCCCAGTTTAAACCTTGTCATGCCTAGGCCATGTTATAGTAAGGTAAAGCCTATTTCTCACTCTAATGTTTTAACTTGTAAGGGCAAAATCCATGTTACCATTCAACTACAGAATTCCTCGAATAATAGCCGGGGGTGATTATCATTTTTTCTGCACAAACAGGGGGCGATTATTTGAGGGAAGGCAATTATTGGAGGAACGCAGTTATTTCAAATATTGCTCACTGGAAGTTGTGCCACAAATATTTTGTTTTATCCCATTAAACCAAAAATTGATCACATCAAATAAACTGAACATGGGCTTTTTAAGTGTTCCAAATTTGGTTTCTTGATTAATTGACAATGTCAATATCTTAGGCGTCCAACCTTGAATTGTCACTAATCAGTTTAGCTGGATTAAGCTCCACTTCAACCGGACAGGGAGGGTATAAAAGAAAGAGAAGATGGTGAGATGGGTGGAGGTGGGACGTGATTATTTGAGGCTGGCGATTATTTTTAATATTTCCATTTAAGCGGAGGGGCAATATATTCAAGGGAGGCAATTACTGGAGGGACGGCTATTATTCGAGGAAATACAGTATATGGGTATGCGCCAATCAACAGGGAATACTGTTTATTCCTCTATAACTATGGAACATGGTATAAAAATCACCCTTTAGCTCTGGAAGTGGGGGATATTTCACTTCATTTAGACAGGTTGATTTTTCGTCTAAAATCCCTGATTATTCTCAACAGACCTTTTAACACTTTTTTTTTCAACTTTTGACATGGACAAGCTAGGGAAAATCCATCGACTCCGCTAGAAAGAGCTCCTGTAAATTAGTAAAATTGCCAAGTTTAAAAGTGATTTGTTGAAAACTAAAGAAGTTATAGCTCCTCAAAGTCGTGAAATAAGGGAACATACTTGCCCCCTACCACACAAATCTCGGTAAATCTTTGCAACTTTGCGGAGCCATATCTCCAAAACTTGGCAAGTCTACTTATTTTTAGGTGCTCTTTCTAATGGTGTTGATGGATTTTCCTTAACCTGCACAAAGACATTGTTTTATTTTTCTTTCTGTTCTTTTGGAAAACATCGGCGTGAGCAAGAGCGAGGCGAGCACCTGAGCGAGAGCGAGTGCGGAGCGCGAGGAAGAAAAATAACTGGAGGGTCTGTGAACAGGCTATTCCTTAAAGGGTTCATGTCAAAAGTTGAAAAAACTGTGCAAGGGTATATTCAGTTTAGGTACAAAAATACACTTCCCTTCTCGTTTTATCATTGAGCCGGCCACAGGAACAGTGAGGCTGTACTCTGAAGAAAATTGAAGGGAGCCCAGCGATCTGAACCTGTAAAATCTGGGGTGCCCAGCATATAATTTGTATGAAATATCTGAGATTTTCTAGGTGCCCAAGAGCAAAAGTTGGGGGCCAGGGACCACCGGCTTTTGCTAGAGCACAACCATGAACAGTATTCCTGCTTTTATAATAATGTGTGGAACAGGGTCGCAATTTTGTCTCTTTCTGTGGAAGAGTTCCATAGTCTCAAAGACTCAGTAGCACAACAAAGTAGTAAATTTTGGGGGGCTGAAACCTACATGGAGTCTCTTTTTTTTGCTATGCTCCAATTCCCTTCTTTCAGGAAATTAGAATAACTAGGAGTACATTCAAATAATAAAAACATTATGCATAATGTAGGGGAAACAATGCAACTTATGATACAATACTATTATTGTTCTAAGAACCTATTGCTGGCATGCTTCTTCCTTGTTCCATGGTTAATGGAGCTCATTTTCTTTCTGCTTGATCCACTTATGAAGCTATTATAGCCATTTGAAAAATATTAGCTCCAAATATTCATTGTCATCTACATAAATGGATTTGTAGACTGTCCTTGTCTCTGCATAGCTTGCTGTGGACCAGCATTCTGAAACATAAAAGAATGAACAATAATTTCCCCAGGCAGAGATGACTAACCGGTGGACAAAATTATTGAGCCTTTCTATGGATACCTGTAGACATAGTTTTTGTTGTGCATTTTTCATCAAATGGTCAGATTTTTGATGAAAAATTAACTGCCTCATATCATAATTATTGTTTTGCATGGTAAAGGTACTAGCGAGCTCAAGAAACCACAATGATGACAAGGAAAGCAGAAAATAACACATGCAACAGGTGTCAGGGTTCGTAGATTTTGGGATCCGAGATTCAAGACTTTTTCCAAAACAATAGTTTCTTTTCCAGACTCAAGGTTATTAAATAGGTGATCAATAGAGACCTTAAACACTGAATGCAGGAACACAAGCGTATGGGCTAAATTGAGTAAGATTTCACCAAAACGAAAAAAAATAATTACGAATAAAGCAAGGTTGTTGCAGCTTTGAAAAAAACTCAAGACTCTTTCCCATTTTTCCAGACTTGATCTCTGTTTTCCAAACTTTTTCCATGTCTGGAAAATTGCTGGACAAGAATTCAAGACTGTATGAACCCTGAGGTTTATAAGCAAAACAAAAACTCCGAAAGTGCAAAACACTTTTAGGCAGATTCTTTGACATCACTGCACAACTAAGTTAGTCAAACTTGATCGGAAAGGTAATGTGATTGTTGCTTTAATCCATAAGATCATCATTACATCAGTAGCGATTGTTTCAACGTTGATTTCATTGGAAACACCCCTAGAGAGTCTCATTATTTTAAAGATATCCAAAAGCGTAGAGCCAGCAGCCCGGAAATAACTCATTTAACAAGAACATTTTTGCAGTTCAGTCTCTTAAGATGGCAGTGTTGGACCTTATAGAGTCAAGGTAAATGACCAAATAATGGGCACCAACTCTAGCTGTCTGTATTAGGCAGATATTGATCTAATAGAGGTGTCATTCAGGTGAGAGTTGATCGTATTCTAGCTCTAATGATGGAGGTTTGCATAAGTTTCACATGATAGACTGAAGGTCAAAACATGCATAACCAGATTGTGTTCTATGTATTCCATTGATTCTCACTGGAAGTCCAAACAAATGCTGTCTTTATACATGCCAAGCAAGTGTAATAGTAACCTGGAGATAAGGATTGTGGGGTCAGACAATAAATAATTATTGGATAAGGTTGAGCATGATATCATGAATTATCAAAACCGAGGTCTGTGTTATCTGCCGAAGCCGAAGGGTGAGGCAGATAATACAGACACAAGGTTTTGATAATTCATGATATCATGCGAAAACCGAATTCAATAATAATATTGTTTCATTATACATTTTTTAAACAACAGGAAAAAGAAGACATTCAGCCATTCTGTTTCTGAGGAGAACACTCCAAAGGGGTTGGTAACCAGGCAGATGTTGAACTTGACATGATAAATGCAATATCTGCAGCAGATATTGCATTTATCATGTCAAGTTCACAAGCTATTGTGAATTGATTGAATGCTCTCGACCAATCAGATTTTTCATAGTGAGTCTGATGTATCATAATATTATTGTAAACTTCTGTGTATTCAAATAAAATGAAGTCCTGATCATACTTACTGTATGGTTTAAAAGACTTACTAGCTGCCACAATGTACTTACCATGAATGGATTGGCCTGTTGACTTTGTTGCCAACTTCCAAATTGTTGCATCTGCTGTTGTTGCCCAAACTGTGCACCTCCCATTCCAGCCATACTTCCACCAAATGCATTTGGCTGTGCACCATATCCACCAGGGATTCCAAATCCAGTATTTTGTTGTTGGCCACCAAAACCACTTCCGCCTGACATTGGATTAGCTCCAAATGAACCTGTAGATGCCCCAAACCCAGACATAGGCTGCATACCCCCAAACCCAGAACTCGGCTGTCCAGTCCCAAATCCTTGGTTACTACCAAAGCCAGGTTGGTTACCACCAAAGTTCATTTGACCTCGCATTTGAGGTTGCTGTTGTTGCTGCTGACTGCCTCCCATTTTTCCGAATTGGTTCCAGGCCATCGCTGTCATGCCTGCACCTCCAAAGCTAAGATTCTGTTGAGCAGATGATGGGGGCATCCCCATATTTTGACCACCTCCCATTTGTTGTTGGCTCGTCATGCCTCCCCAGCCCGACTGTTGAGGTCCACCAAATGATGACTGCTGGGAAGATGCAAGGCTTCCGAACACTCCGCCAGGTTGGCCACCACCAAAAGCTGTGTTGGACAGCTGGTTCCCAAATCCTGAACTTACTGGCTGACTACCAAATGCAGAAACTGTTGGCTGGGCGGTGCTGAAACTACCAAACCCACTACCACTTGTAGCCGCTATGCTACTGGCAGGACTCATACTTCTTGTAGGACCATTAAGCTGTCCACTGAGACCCTGAAAAGGATTGGATGTCTGCTGGGACTGAAACCCTCCCGACCCAACGCTTGATGTTGCGCTCGAAAACGGGTTAGGTCCACTTGACATTCCGAACGTTGAAGTCCCAGAGGAACCAAAGCCTGTTCCAGAGCTAAAACTAGTGCTACTATTACTTGAGGATGTGCCAAACAAGCTATCTAGTTCAGTCAATGCCGCATACTTGTCACTAGCAGCTGCTGAGCTTCCAGACGCTGATACAAGTGGCCCAAAGCCAGA